AGTCTGTAACCCCAGTTCCATGGGATCCAAAGCCCTCTCTGACCTCCAAGGGCATTGCGCGACATGGGTGCACTTATATACATGCAGGCAATATGCTCATACACATAAAATAAATAAAAAATTTAAAAATATGTTATTCAGCTGGACATGGTAGCACGTGCCTTTAAACCCAGTGCTTGGGAGGCAGAGGCAGGTGGATTTCTGTGAGATCGAGGCCAGCCTGGTCTACGTAGCTAGCTCCAGGTCAGCTGGGGCTACAGGGTCTCAAAAAAGAAAAAGAAAAAGAAAAAAAAAGTGAAAAAATATTCTAGTAATATTAAGATCTCATCTGGTCCTACCTAAGTGATCTGGCCGCTTTAAATAATTTACTTAGTATTCAATATATCTTTTGATTTGAAGCCTTTCTTACTCAGAAAATCTTTATGTCTTAAAATTTTTATTACATTTTCTTTATTTAATGTGTGTGTGTGTGTGTGTGTGCGTGCGCGCACACAAGTGGCATACAAATCAAAGGACAACTTTCTGGAGTCAGCTTTCTTCTTCCACCATGTGACTTGGTGGCAAGTACCTTTACCTACTGAAGCATCTTGCCAGCTCCATTTTTTAAATTTCTTTTTAAATTTTTTGATTTTTATTTTATGTGTATGAGTGTCATGCCTGCATGTATGTAAGTGTACCTGCAACATGCACAGCCTACAGAGGACAGAAGAGGGCATTGGATCCCTGGAACTAGAGTTACAAATGGTTACCCAGGTCTTCTGCAAGAACAGCCAGTGCTCTTAACTACTGAGCCATCTCTCCAGTCCCCCATTTTCTTATTTCTTTAATGAGTATTTCTCTATGAGCTCTGTTCTCTATTTTTACCATGTTTACTATAGAAGTGTGTTTGAGTTCTGGGCACGGTGAGGGATATATGTTACCATAGCACTTGGGAGGCTGGTATAGGAGAATTGCAGTTTGAAGCAGACTTGGGCTATGTAGTGTATTCAAGGCCATCCTGGAATACGTAGTGAAATCAAGTCTCAAACATCCAAAAAAGAGAAAAAAATGCATATTTGTTTTCTGAAATTTTCTTCTCTTTTCTTTTTCTCTTTTAATACCACTTTTCCTCTAAATTGTGAAGAATGTTCTTTAAATAGTCTTTCCTGATTTAGTTTTTCATTTAAAAATAAATACCCTGGACCAGTGTGATGGCTCAATGGGTAAAGGCACTTGCTCCCAAGACTGAAGACCTGTGTTTAGTCCCCAGGATCCATACGGTGGGATAAGAGAACTGATTCCTGCAAGTTGTCTTCTGTCTCCAACATGCACTGTGGCACACTCTTGTACACACAGACACATAGACACACACACACACACATATATTCTCCAATAAAAGTAATAAAAATTTAAAAATCCTGTTGCATAGATTGGCCTTTGTTAAATAGAGTACAAATGAGTGACTTTTACTGTCTCTCAGTTTCCTGGATTCTAGTAACTCTAGGGGTGAGGATACAATAACTTGTTTAGTGATTTTTCTCTATTTGCTCAGTTAATGGAGGGATTTAAATCTAGGTTTGCTGGGATGGAGAACTATAAAAGCTTATGTAGATCATTTCCAAGCCTTTTGGTTTGAGGAAATGAAGATTTCCCCCCCTGCCCCCCACGGGCTTGCTTATGGCTTTGTTTTCTATTGGGCAGCCCTGGTTGGCCACCGCTGGGGCAGAGAGAGCTTCTTAGGAGAGAAATTCGCTGCAGTGTAGGGCAACCTCTTTCCGGTATATGCCTAGGCAGTCCTAGGTTCGCTGGAGGTGTCTCCTCTCTCTACCTGACCCGAGTGTCCAGATTAGGCACTGATGGCCAGTATTTCTGCATGCCCGTCAACCCCCAAAATGGACAGAGCCCTGGGCAATTTCTATGAGACACAGTCTCAGTTGTCAAGATCATCCAGGTGTTTCATGATGGAGCCCACCTCTGGGTATTTCCTTGTCCTGGCTGCCTCTTGCAGGGCTTTTGGGCAGCCTTGTCAGGCTTCTACCTTCTACTCCTCCTTGGGAATTCCCTTCTTACACACCCATCAACCTGGATCCACACTCTGTATCTTGTAGAAATTTCATAAGGTTATGACTCTGCTGATTCCACCGTGGAAGTTTTTCCACTTTCAGTTCTTTGACCATTTCATTGATAAGTTGGAATGGAGAATGGTTCAATGCATGGCTTTTATTTATACTCTATTAACAACGATGAGGATAATAGAATTTTTAATGGGTCTCAGGACAAAAGTGATTTATTTACAGTGTCACCACTAGATGGTGCCACCAATTAGTGAAAACAATGTGGTTGCTCTTCCTGACCAATCAAGAACCATCCACGGCCAGTGCATCCATGGCCCATGGTACATGGATGAACATGTACATATATACACAAATGTGTGCACACGTAAGTAGGGACACATGAGTCATCACAGGGCAATGTTGGCTTAAACGCGTACATGTGTATGCAAAGGTGTACAGGAGTTGATGGCACCCTGGAAAGTGTGGGATTGAGATGAAATGACAGGAACTGCCAAACGGCTCCCTCTGTAGCCTGAAAGTACCACTCATGCCTGTGGAGTGTGCAGAAAGACACAACTGCGGAGGAGAAATACAATGACAGGGCCACAGGACAGCGTTCCTTAGGTTCGGACCACTTCAACATAGCCAGACCTTATAAAGCCATCAGTCTTGCAAAACCTTGTGCCCAGTCAGATCTCTGTTTACTCTGCAGTCCAAATTATCATTGAAACAATTGAAGAATTAAAAGTGTGAAATATTATTCCACACTGGAAATCGATAGTTACTTCTGAAGTCCTGGAGATTATAGCCTATCTAATAAAATGCTAGCCTTGGGGTCCTATCTTTTGTCCATATGGGGAGAAAATCTGAACCGCAGAAAACTGGATATAGTATACTGCAAGTGGACAGATGTCCTTCAATCCCTCCTTGTCTGTGGAAGGTCCCTGAGGGTAGGCCCTTCACTGTAGACAGACTCTCTCCATACCACTGGAACTCTATTGATTGCTTGTGGTAGACACTAACTCACAAAGGTGAAGGACTTCTCTTTTCTGACCTCAGTTTCCCTAATGTGGGCTAGGGCCAGGTAATTCCCAGGGCCCTTTAGCAATGACTGAAGGTTTCCAAGTCTGCAGTTTGCCAGGCGATTCCTGGGACTCTTCTTGAAGAGGTTCTGAAGAGTGAATTTCCCTCTCTAACCTTCTCTTTCTCCTCTCCCCACCCCCTCAAGCACGTGTTCTCTTTAATGCCTGAGGAAGGCAACTAGCTCCAGAGCCTCAGAAGTCTGCACGAGGAGTCCTTCACTTAAGACTCATTAAAAGTTCAAGTGGCTTCTCCAGAGGGCCAGAGAAGCCTCAAGAGTCATTACATCTGCTGCTGAGACCAATTTGGTCAAAAGTCATGTTCAGCCCTTTGAGACGGTGAAGTCTCCCTGAGAGAAAGCTGCCAAGATTTGTATTAGAGGGCGGAAGGTCTCTGGGGGTCACCTCACATGGGACTTTCACAGAGGAAACAGGCTGGGCCAGAGGAAGGACTTTGGGTTTATGGGTGGAGCTGCGGCAGAGCTCAGAAAACCTGCTTAGGCAAATATTCCTTCTGGTCACAGGGAGCTGAGCGCTCACCAGAAGGAGCTTGGAGGAAGGGGCTGGATGACCCCCTGAGGATCCTGAGCACAGAGCTGGAGCACTGGGGAGCCCTCACTGCATATGAGGGAGCAGCTGATAAGCTTGCAGACAACAGAAATGCCAAGAGACAGTGCTCCAGCCCCTAGGCCTGTGAGCAGGAAAGGCTAGCGCTTATCTGTGATGACCAGAGGGCATTCAGAACCAGGAATGGGAGAGAGTTGAAGACTATACACATCCTGCTTACTGCCCAAGTCCTCCACCAGGCAAAAATGACATTCTGAGCTTTGTGGCAGGGCCACTGTGATAAACTATGTGAACCTCAGGAAAGCCATGAGCTTCATTAGAGGATCCCCAAGTGACCTAAGGGCCATAGATTAGTGGTCTGGTTTTGTTCACCTCTTATCAGTTGGTCACTCCCAGGACTCAGAGAGAGTGTTTGTGGAGCCCACCTGTCTCCTCTAGGGTCATAGATAACATGCCTGCCAATTTCTGAGGAAATAATCTTAAGAAGACCCTCAATCACTCCAAGGACACCAAACCCGGGCACTAACTCAACTCCCCACAAAGTGCAGCTGTATCTCACAACCTTGGTATAAAAAACCCCCGTTTTTCTTTGTCTAATTGTAGAAGCTTGGTTCCCTCGGTCAGCCTCTACCTCTCGCTGTGTCTTCTTTGAATAAAAGGAAGATCTATTCCTTGCCTGTTGCAGGTCTGGCTCTGGTTTCTTGTTTCCTACTCTATTTTTCCTTTTATTCTCCAGAAATCTAACACACTGTGACAGAGCAAGAAGGTTGCTGTTCACAGCCCATTAAGACTGTGGACCAAGGTTGGCTTGTGTGACCTCAGACAGCTTCCTTCCTGCCTTCTGTTGACCCAAACGGAGCGCACAGTCCTCCAGCTTCCTAGACCCAGCAGGATAAGCAAGGGCCTCCCTGGATGATAGGTCTGTGGGCCTCATCAGGCTCCTGACAGTCCTGAAGCTCACTGACCTTGGGCTGACTTTCTGGACAGACCTCAGCTCAGGAAGACTGTGTAGGCTTCAGGGTGGGACATCACAGACTACCCGCAGTCACAGAGCTAATGTGTCGTGTGTGTCCAAAGCCTACGTCCCTAATCTCTGTACAGTACTGTTTCTACAAGAGGAAACTGAAGCCCGGAGAAGGGAGGCCCTCACTCCACCAGGAGGCAGGAGTAGGCAGCCTTGACCTCTTACCTCTAAGTTCAGGGCTCTTCCCTCCAGGACACTCAGTCTCACAGCTCTCTGTCTCCACCCACTTTCCCGTGACTGGCCTCTCCAAAGTTAGCAGTCCCTCCGCCTTGCCTTGCCGTTAGTTGACAAGCTAGTCCAAATAGGCCTCACCCACATTCCCTGGCTGTTTTCCAGCCTGCAGGAACTGAAACAACCCAGTTCAGTGACTGTGAGGACTGAGCAGAGGCTGTTGAAGGGGAGAGAGCAGGGAGCCACTGAGTGAAGAGGGACTCTCTGGCTTCCAGATGCTAGGCCTCCTGGGGAGCATGCCCTTTGTGGGCTGGATCATAGGTGCTGTGGTGACTGTCCTGTTACTGCTACTGCTGCTGGCCACCTGCCTTTTCCACAGATCACAGGACCCTGATGTGGAGAGGAACCAAGTCCGGCGAGCCCAGCCTCGACTCTTCCATGGCCGGCCCCGGGGTCTCCCGGGAATCTTTCACCATCGCCATCACCATCACCCTGGCCATGTGTCTCAGGTGCCCAGTGCAGGCTTCCATCACCACCACCACCACCACCACCAGCTTCACCGCCAGCATCACCATTTCCACAATTCTCCTCACCACCACAACCACCGCCACCACCACCATGCTCACAGAGCTCACCCCTGAGGCCTGTGGATGGAAGCTACCTGGACCCTGTTGCTTCCATGGAAAAGGATGTGTCTTAGGGTAAATGGGGTTCTGGGAAATCCTGCTTGAGTTTCACTTGTATAGCGTGTCCCTCCCCCACCATGTAACAGACCCAAGGACCACCAGGGGTGACCCTACAGACCGTACAGGCTTGGGATTGGAGAACAAGGCTGACTGGACACTCCACCTTGTGGCTGTAAATCTGGAGTCCCTGGAAGTGACAAGGGTGTCTGGCAGAACCAGAGCACAGGTGGATATGAAACACTCATCTGACTTTTCCCTGTGGAAGCTGGAGAGGTCTTGCAAGGCCCTTTCTGATGCACAATATGGTATGGGGCTACACAGGTGCTTGGCTAGAGGAAATAAAAGCCAGCAGAAAGCTTTTGTAAAGTGGTTCTTGATTGTAGTGTGATGAGAGAGTGCAGGGAAAGAGGAAGCCTCTAGGCCTGTGGCACGTTCCCTAGGGCCTCCTCTGGGGTGGGAAGCTGGGGCTGGCGGCTGGCTGTGGAATGGGGAAAAGCAGGTGGGCCCTGCTTGAGCTCTGAGGGAGAATTAGTGTGGCAGCCCAGAGCCTTGGGGAGGAAAGCTGAGGCCACATGGACTAGTTCTCTGAGGCTCTACCTCCTGGGCTCCTTGTAACCCTGGTCCTGAGCTGGCTGCATTGGAATCAATGTTTCCTTGGGGTCTGGATCAGGAATGCTTATCCAGGTCTCGAGTCTCCAGCCAACCTGTTTCCAGATGTCTAGGAGTGGCTGGTGGGACCAAGAGGGAAGGAGCAGAGCTATTTAAACTGCTGGGGTGCTGGGTGGCCTTAGGAGAGTTGCTTATCTCCTTTGGGCCTCAGTTTCTTCTTTCTTAAAATGGAGTGGTTTAGGGACTCCTGCTAAAGCTGACAGGCATGCATGCTCCCAAATGCACTATGAACAGCTGGTGAGGTCCATGGAGAGGACGGAAATTTGGTCCTCAAGCCTTCTGTCTATGCCTGGGAACAGAGGAGGAAACAGAGCAAGGCTTGGTGGGGAGGGGCTGGAGAACAGGCCAGAAAGTCAGGGGCCTGGTGACTCACTGGAATAGAATGTCCTCTTTCCTTTCTTTTCCCAGTGGACTCTCTGTGAGGGCTGAGGGAGGAGCGACCAGTGAGGAAAAGGTGGGTAAGGGAGTGCCACACAGTGACAGTCACACTATATTTCTATGATGGGAAAGTGGACCAGAGGTCTCATAGATCTCTGTCTGCAATGTCCTTCAAACCCACTTTACCTTCCCCATCCTCTATACTCAGCCCAGCCCAGGCCTCATCCTCAGGCCTAGCTCCTGTCACAGCCTCTTCCAGCCTGCCTACCTCAGACCTGCCCTTTTCCCTAGCTTTGCAATGATTTTACAGATAAATCAAAGAAGGGAAAGGGAAGTTTAGATGTAGAAGGAAATCTATTAAGAGGCAAATGGTAGCAGGCTGAGCACTTGTCCTTTATTCCTAATAAAAAATGCAGAGCCATTCTCCTCATACCCTCAGAGAACAGGCAAATAGAATTCAGAGAAACAGACTTGCGACAGCCTCTGGGGCCCATCTCTCAGATCTGCTTGGCGATGTGGGGAATTTAAACAAATGAGTTCTGGGTGGGTGTCTGTTCACTTCTCTCTGCTCCTGGTGGCCCCAGTTAAGACAAGTATTCTGAAGCATTTGGCTCCCTGTGCCCATGTGGAGGAGGAGCCCAGAGCCCAGATTACCCAAGCGTCTTAGGAAAGGGAATGTGCTAGAATAGGACAGTGTATCTTTGCTCTCTTATTCTGTGAGTAGGCAGTTTGTGGCTATTGCTATGAAAATTCTCTTGGACCTTGGAGAAATTGGAAAGGTCCCAGGCTGTGTGACCTTGGGCCAGTGCTCTCTCTCACTCTCCCACTCTCTCACTCTCTCTTCTCTGAGTTTTGGCATCCTGATCAAGCAAACTGCAGAATCAGGTGATGACTCTGATTGTATGGTCCCTGGAAAGAGCATTGGGTTGGAACGGAGGGAGGGAAGTCCCTGCTCTGACATTTGGTGCTGTTGTCACCATAGCTAACTAGCAAAGGCCTGGGCTGGGTCTGTCTGCTCTGTGACCACTGCTTTGGTATCTGTAAAATGAAGGCGCTACCACTGTACAGGGCTGTGGAGGCCACATAGCTCAGGCTGGGTCCAGTACCTGGAAGTACTTTTTCTTATGACTCTGTTTTTCATAATATGGGAAAAGGGCAGGGGGCTGGTCCAAACTCCTTTTTGGATGTGGTGGAGTCTCAAGAGGCTATGGGTGTGAGGGCCTGGCCCTCACTCACACCCCTCATACCCCTGGAGGAGCAGGGTAGGAATGATCCTGGGTGTGTGTATGGGGCGGGCTGAGTGCTGTAGCTGAGGAGGTGGTGGCTGTGGGTCCTGGGTCCTCAATCACAATTGGTGGAAGGGATTCAGGAAGTACTCACAGCTGCTTAGACATCCCGGAGCCAAGTTCCAGGCAGGACCAACAATAACACTGCAGACTCCAGGGAGGAGAGTCATGGCCCCCCCAGGGTGGCCACCAGACAAAGAGCCCACAGCACCAGGTACAGCCAGGGCTGGCACTCCTGAAGCCTAGGGTAAGTGTTTATAGCACTTGGTGTGAGCAGTGGGCCTGGGCTGGCAGCAAACAGGGCCGGGCGAGGCTGTACAGAAAAGGTTTCTCCTGGAACCTCAGGGTGAGTGGGCCCTAGTGTGTCCCTGAAGGGGCTAGAACAGGCTTGCCCCATCTAAAGCGCACACTTGAACCCTGCTCAGAAAATGAGGCCGAGTACAACCTCTCCTATTTCCCTGTGTCACCTCCTGGAGGCTCCCCAACACCCATGATCACCTGTGTGTGCTGCCCCACCTCACCTCCATTTTGCTCAGAGCTGGCATGAGTCTTTCTCCCACATCTGCCTCTCAGCCCAGGACCAGGGGTGGAGAGACAGCAAAAAGGCGTATGGGAGGACTGGCCCCAGGTCCCTCCCAGGAAGGACCCAGGATCCTCATGGGTCCACCAAGGGGGAGGATTTTTGTCTTCTTCCTGAGTGTACACCCCTCCCATGCCCCTCTCCTTTTTTAAATCATTTGTTCTTGAAATCCAGAGGTGTTACTAATGAGCCAGGGCTGGTGTGGCCTCCCTCTGAGCAAGTTCTTCTGCCCCACCCTCCTCATGCCCTCCATGTCCCGGCAATCTCGTGGTTACATCTTTTGAAATGGTACTTCTAGAAGCTGCCAGTGGAGTTGACCACAGAGGTGCTCAGTGACCTGGGGTGGCACATCTTTAAAGACCAGGGAAGAGCATCCATCCAGCGCAGAGCCCCGGTGATCATCAATAGCCACCGTTTCCGATGGGACACTAAGGCTCGAGGCCACCTAGGTTGCTGCACTTCACAAGCACCACTCAAGAGACCATGGAAGCGGCAGTGATTGGAATGGTGGCTATGCTGTTTGTGGTCACCATTGCCATCACCTGCATCCTCTGTTACTTCAGCTATGACTCGAAGACCCAAGATCCTCAGAGGGGACCCAGCTACAGCTTCACAGTGGCCACATTTCACCAGGAAGCATCTCTCTTCACAGGGCCTGGTATCCAAACCAGGCCAATGCCGAATGCCCAGAACTTCTGGACTGTCACGTGAAGTTAGCAGACCCTCAGGAATTGCTCTGCTGGTGGCTCAGACCCACCTAGCCCTTCAATAAGCATTGTCTAGTGTCCCACTCCTCCCAGGCCTATATCTCTGTCCTTTTGTATCCCATAAACTTCCTGTCCCCTCCCATCCTGACTTGCTCTGTCCTCTGTCCTGGAGGGAGCTGAGGTGTTGGGGATAAGGTGATTCCCCTCTAAGCTCTGAGAGCTCAGCTGGGTCCTACTCTGAGGTGGGGCTGGGGGGCGTCTAAGGAAGTACGGACAGACACTGCTGTTGTATACCAGCCAATGATGTAACCTCAGCAGAATTTCGCATCAACAGGGTGCCCTTGAAACAGATTCTGTTTGCCACCCGAGGAAGTAGCGCTCTCAAGTGGACATTTTTCAGGAACGCCTTGTTATTTGTTAGTATTTTTATACTGTGCAGTGCCCAACCCTGAGGCCTGCTCCTGCCAGTTCCCTGAAATCAGCCCTGAAATTCTGAAAACAAAAAGCTGCTTTCTGGGAACAAGTGATTTATTTTATAATTGAGAATGTAAATCCTTTTATGGGTTTTTCCAAATGTGCTTTGGAAAACCACAAAAGGAAACAGAAGAGAAAATAAGTCACAGAAAGTACAAGGTGTTTTATTAACAGGAAAGCCAGCAAAAAAAAGACTTAAATACGACTTAAACGAGACTTACTTCATTGCTTTATTCTAAGGCCTCTTCTATTCTTAGAGAATACAAGTGATTGGTGTCACTTGGGCATGATAGAAAAATCATGAACTGAAAGAAAATTCCAAAAAAGTTAAAATGTTGCTACATTTCAGAGCATGTAAAGGAGTTGTTGTTTTTACCACAAATAAAAGAGACATTCAATTTTTATTAATAAAAAATCTGTTCTCTGTGTCTACACAATATATTTATTTTATTTATTATTTTTATTTTATGAGTGTATTGCCTACATGTATGTGAGTGCACCCATGTTGTGCACTGCCGCAGAGGTCAGACGAGGGTGTCGGATTCCCCTGGAACTGGAGTTAAGGACGGTTTGTAGCCGCCATGTGGGTGCTGGGAATCGAACCCGAGTCCCCTGCAAGAGCAGTCAGTGCTCTTAACTGCTGAGCCATCTCTCCACAGAATATTTAAAGAATATGATTCAAAAAGTGGAAATCTATGGGCTTCCTAGATCATATATCTACATCTAACCCTGAATTGGTGACTCTCTCCAGACTTGCCTGTGGAGGAGGGCAAGACTGAACCCAAGGGAGCTCTGGCTAGGGGCAGGGGGCAGGAAGCCCTGGGGACCAAATAAAGGGACCCACTCTAGGTTGCATTCTCCACAGATGAACCAGTATGGGTTGAAGATGTCTGCTAGGGGTGAATACCTGAAAGAGGAAGACGTAGAAGCAGGACTGGGCAAAGGAGGAAGTCAAAACTATGAGGCAAGCCCTTAACCCCCTTCTCATCCCAACCCTTGCTCCCTCTGAGTGCTGTCTTCCCAAGGGTTTAGCCTCAGTCAAGGTAGGGCTCTGCCCTGAGGTAGACCCAGAAGTCCTTCATTGAAAGAGACCTGGCCAAAGAGCAGAGTCCTCTTTCCAGGGTCACCTAGACTGGTCAGAAGTTGGGTAAGGGTGTCCAGGCACAATGGAGCACCGAGCATAGGAGCCTGTGGTGTGTGTGGTGGTGGCGGGGTAGCTACACCGAGTCTCAGAGGGAAGGAGAGTGCTTTTGTCTTCTCCTGCCCTCAGTTAGAGTCGGCTTTCTCTGCTCTAGGTTTGATACCCTTCAGTTAGAGCCAAGTTTCAGGATCTTGGCCCAGGCCTCTGCTCCTGTTTCTACTGGTCCAGTCCAGGTTAGAGAGACAGAATTGGAAACAAAAAACAGTGGGACAGAGCCTGGCCATCCTCTGTAGGAGCTGGGCAGCTTTTCCAATCCTGAGGAATCCCCATTTGTTTACTAGCTCATTCACCTGCAGATCCACCCACCCACCCATCCATCCATCCACCCATCCATCCATTCACTCCATCTTACCCACATATCCCTCCATCTCCTGATGCACCCATCAGTCTATCCACAGATCTATCCACCCATTCATCTACTCACCCGCACATGTAACCAATGAGTTGTACTTCTTCACTTGCCCATGTGTTTATTCATTCGTTCCATCCTCATCCAGTCATTCAGCTATTCATTCCTCCGCTCAGTGAGGAGGAGCAGAGCTCTGCTGTGTACCAGGCTCTGTTCAGGGAAGGTGGGAGTCAATTAGACCTGGTCCCAGCACTCAGGGACCCTCTGGAAAAGGCAGGAATAACGTGCTCTGGGTACTGGGGCAAGGAAGGGAGAAGAGGCCCAAAGAAACATGGGAGGAGGAGGAGGACCCTGAGCTGGACTGAAAGGAGAGACGAGACTTAAACAAGCAGACTTGGGAAAGGTTAGTGTAGAGAACCTGTGAGTCAGGGAGTCAGCATCCTGGCCTGCAGGAGATGAGGCTAGACCCCAGCCACCTCCTGACAGAAGCACATTTCTAGGTAATCAATGCTGAAGGCCCCAAGAGGTGGCCTTGCTTTTAGGGCTGGGCAGGTGGCTCCTGAGGTAGGACATGAACCCCAGGCCCTCGGAGGACTGTGGAGCTGGGTCTGAGGGCAGAAAGGTATTTGTCAGCAGAATAGAAGATTGAGAAGACAAGGTGATTAAGGCCAGCTCCTTGGGCAAGCTGACAAAGGAAAGGTACATGTACAGCATGGAGCAGGGCTAGAGAGACAGCTCAGCAGTTAAGAGCACTGGCTGCTCTTCCTAGCACACACGTGGCAGCTAACAACCATCGTAACTCCTGTTCCAGGGGAATCCGATGCCCTCTACTGACCTCTGTGGGCATTGCATGACACAGGTGCACTTAGATACATGCAGGCAAAACACTACACACATAAAATAAAAAATAATAAAGAGCAGAAGGATAGGGAAGGGTAAAGAGGGGCTGGAAGGAAGGACAGGGAAGAGGGGGCAGGGAGAGGGAGGGCAAGGAGATAGAACAAGGGGAAGGGAGTGGGAGGATTCCCAAGGAGGGAGAGGACATGGCCTTGAACTCACAGAGATCTGCCTGCCTCTGCCTCCTGAGTGCTGGGTGGGATTAAAGGCATGTGCCACCACACCTGGTGCCTAAATATATCTCATGGACTACTGGGGACATATACTATCTTGTCTACGTGAGACCAAGTGTCACTGGGCATCCTGAATTTTATCTGACAACTTTATGGGACAGAGTGTGTCTGAGAGAATAGGTAGCTGGCTGGAGCCAGCAGGGAGCTGTCAAAAGTGAGTGCAGAGACAAGGTCCTTGAATTTGGCAACATAAGGGTTGACCATGGTTTTGGTGAGTAGACAGCTACACCGTGGGTTGTGATGTGTGTATGGTATATGCATTGGTATGTATGGTGTGTTGTGTCTGGTGTGTGCTATATATATGGTATATGATATGTAGTATGTGTAATACATATACGGTACATGATATGTAGTGAGTGTAATATATATATATACTTTATATATAGTATATATGGTATGTATATGGTCTTTGATATAATATGTGTGGTATGTGATATGTGTAAGGCAGGGTGGTATATATTTTCAGTGTGTATGTGATGGTGTACATATGGGGTGTATGCTATACATATGGTATATGTGTTCTGTGAGTGTGTGTGTGATTTATTGTATGTGTCTGGTGTGTGTGGTGTGGTTTGACTGTGTGTGGTATGGTGCGGTATGTGTGTGCTGTGTTGTGTATATCTGGTATGCGTGGTATTTGTATGGTCTATGATGTGTGGTGTGTGTGTGTGTGTGTGTGTGTGTGTGTGGTATAGCATTCTTCCCAGTGTAGTCTGCTGTATAAGAAGAGGGAGGGGCTCAGCAGCAAGGCAGCAGGGAGCCCCTCAGTGCCAATGACAGTCCTCTACCCACTATCTCCAAGGGAGGGGGTAGCAGTGCAAGGACAAGACAGAATAGCACCAAAATGCCAGCAAAGCCAGGAGTGTTTATGTGGTGGCTGAGAGGGAGGCAGCTGCTCTGGCCATTCTGGAAATCTGGGGCACAGCCCCTCTTGTACCCAGGCCTCTGTTTCCAAATCTAGCTTTTTCCATTCACCCCACAGCTGCTGCTAGTTTCCACATACTGACAGTGCAGCAGGCACTATGCCTTAACTACATATCATCTTGTCAGCACCCACAGCAGCCCCATGATCGCCACTGCACAGATGGGGGGCCTAGCTGCCACTCTGTGAGTGCTCTGGGCCAACAGCGACTCCACAGGAGAAAGACCGAGCTGCCATTTTGCTCTGTGTGAGGGGTATGCTTCCCCTCAGCAGAATCCAGTTCACATCTGAAGAGGAAGGGAAACCTGGGGGTTCCTTTGGCCTGGGTTTACGTGGGCACCTGCCCAGCTGCATATCTGACTCTGAAGAAGAAAGGGGCCTTTGCCACCTGCCTTTTCTTCAGGCAGCCCACGGAGGCTCTGAGGAGGCAGCTCCTGCTGGGACTCTGGAGGAACTGTTCAGTCCATTAGGGCGCTGAAGCTTCCCAAAGGTTTTGATCCTATAGATTAGACTGCCACTTGCTGCCACAGGCCTTGTGCCTTCCCTCTCCCCCAATTCCTTTCTCAGCTCCACTCTGGACAAGGGCAGGAAGAATGAGCTGTGTTTATCCTGGGCCTGTTAGGCTGCAGAAACACTGGTCCTGGCTGGGCCTCAACCACCGATGAGTGGGATGCAGAGACGAAAACCCCTACTCTGCCCTCTCTCTGCAGTTCCTGCCTCTGAAACCCGGGCTGGAGTTCTCTCTGGGACTTGGTGCATTCTGGAATCAAGAGGCCTTGAAATAACATGTTTTCCGGAAAAGTACCTTCCTTAGAGGAAACCACTTGTTCCAAGGAGTAGAAAAGGGTCATTGTGCTTTGCCAGGTCCCCATTCCTGAGGTCCTGACACTTAAAAAGGTAGGCACAGTTGGAGACACAGAGACAGCCCCTTGACATCCCTACCAATATGCCCCCATCTAGCACGTCTGCAGGGTGAAGTTCTGAAGTGGCTTAAATGCCAACAGGAGTGGGCTGACTGGCAACATCCTGGTGTAGCCATAAAAATCTAACATTAGGCAGGCTTCAAAACAATGAGGTAAATTTAAACTCTCTGGCACAAAAGGGCATTCATCATATATTGGCAAGTAAAAAGCAGAGTGAATTAGGGAACCATAAATGGCTATATGGTAGAATTTGACTTTTGATAAAAGGCCCCTGTGCTTAAGGCTCTTCAGGGTGACACTCTTGGGAGAGGATGGAAGCTTCAAGAAGCTCCAATACTGTGAGCCTGCTTTTGAAGGGCATGGTGAGATCTGGGCTTCTCTTCATCCCCTCTTTTGTCTCCTGGCCATGAGGTAAGTGGTTTTGTTCCACCCTGATGTGATGCCTCAACATACCACAGATCTAAAAGCAACAGGGTGATCACTCATGGACTGGGCTCTTGAAATCTGTGAGCCATTTTTTTCTTAGACTGGATCTCATTCTATAGCCCAGGCTGGACCGCCAACTCTTGATTCTCTTGCTTCAGCTTCCTGAGTGCTGAGATTACAGGCATGTGCCACCACACTCAGCTCTGAGATGGGAGGACTGAGGAGAGTTGAGAGAATGTTCTGGAACTCACTGGTTTGTGGGAAAGGTCTAACTGTGCCCACCTGCCTCCCATGCTTTCCAAGATAGAGTATGACTCCTAATTCCAGGCCCACAGGTAGGTGAGACTGAGGAACTTCCAAAGGCTGCCCCCTGCATACCCTGCTTGTGGAGGAGCACGCAGTTGCCAGGCTTCCCTGCAGCCACTTTTGACTTCCATAGAGGCCTTTCCAG